TTAATTAGCCAAACATAAAAGAACCTCCTTTCCAAATAAGAATGAAAGATGTAATACTACTTTATATTTCATTCATAATGACATATGGGGACACTCAAAATCCCCAACATCTCCGGGGCTTATTGGTTTGTATCCTTCATTGATGACTGCACTCGGGTTTATTGGATCTATCTCCTTAAAAATAAATATGCGTTAGCACCATTCTTCTCATTTTTCACATCATGATCCAGAATCAATTCGGAGTCAAAATAAAGAGATTTCGTTCAGACAATGCTAAAAACTACTTCAACCAAACCCTAAACTCTTACTTTCAGAGTGAAGGTATCATTCACGAGTCCTCCTGTCTTCACACCCCACAATAAAATTGGGTTGCGGAAAGGAAAAATGGTCACCTCCTAGCCTCCACAAGTGCCTTCCTACTCTACCATAATATACCCAAATCATACTGGGGAGAAGCTCTCCTAACTGCCACCTACCTCATAAACTGACTGATGTGAAACGTACATGCGATGGAGTTACTTTAGGAAATTATAAAGAGCAATTGAAACTTAATAACCCAAAATAAAATTATCATTTATAATAAAAGAGTGATCATTAGAATTCGTGGTTTTAACTTGCTTAGGCAAGGATGAGCAAAATCCGGAAACCAAACAATTTAAGAAAACGCAAAGTTCAAATTGTAAAACTACGATGGTAACAAGAATCCACGAATTAATAAAGAGAACTTTCACCTTTGGAGCCCATACGCTCAACTAATCTAGGCTTTAGCGGAAGAAGAGTCTCCACCTTAGAATTGAGGTCGCTCCGAGGAAGAAGGAGCCTTGGATCGTCGTTCTTGGATAGGTGACCGGAGTGGTGGAGGAGAATTATCCTGAGTGCTTGCTGTGGTTGCTTGGGGGAAGATTCCAAAGACAAAAACTGAAAATTCCTGCAGGAATTTCAGTTTTGGTAGAGGTGGGAGGGAATTATCTTGATGGATTCAAATTAATCCAAATGGGTTTAATGGGGCGGTGAAAGGGGAAGAAATTTGGGCTGAATTTGTGGTGTTCATATGTCATGTGGAAGGAGAAAGAGGCCCACTATGAGTGGCCGGCCCACTAAGGAGGAGAGGGAGAGATTTAGGAGTTATGAATGTGGGGCCCAAGTTTAAGTAAGAAATTCAATTAAATCTGAATTTTAATTTCAGATTTAATTGTGGCTTAAGTAACTTCCCATTATTCAAAATGAGAGGGAAATCTAAGTTGAATTTCAAATTAGGAGTTAATTTCATTAACGAGCTCCCATAAAGATAGGGAACCAATTAGGAAAGAGTGTAAAACACAATTTGAAATTCAAACTCAAGGAATTAAAGGAAACAAGGGGCGGCGGGAGGTGGCTGCTGGGCTGGCCGGTAAGGGGTTGGCCGGAGGGAGGCTGGCGGCTGGCCGGTGGCTGGTTGGCCGGCGGTGGCAGGTCTGGCCGGCGGAAAGGAGAGGTAGGGTGGCCGGCGGCTTTAAATAGCTGAGAGGGGCGGCGGTAAGGCAAGGGGAGAAAGAAGGTGGAAATTCCACGGCGATGACGAATACGGAATTACTAACCTCGCTTGTTTACACCTTGATTTTCCACAAGATTAGATAACTCGAAAACTAGAACTCACAAAGAGATCTAGTCTTCTCCGGTGAACTAGAACTCACTAAGAGATCTAGTTTTCTACGACGAACTCACTAAGAGATCGTGGGAGAAGATGAACTCACTAAGAGAACAGGAGTAAAATTTTATTTCATCAAAACTAAATTATTACAAGAGAATGGCCATATAAATAGACCTCACAATGACAAAGAAAAACAAGAGACTAAAATGCCCCTCGGGCAACATTAACGACTAAATGCCCATAAGGGTAAAAACGGAAAAACATCAAAATAAAATACGCTACTACATAAAATGACAAAATACAAGTCATGCTCGTGGCCGTCGATCTCCGGCGTCGAAAATGCTGACGATGTCCTCATCACTGACTACCATCAAAAACCCTAGGAATGAAAGCTCCAATGGATATTTTGTCCTCCTTTTACCCCGAGTTTCGAACTCATAATAACCTTACACCCAAAATCTTTGAGTGCACTGCCTATGTTCACATCCACAGCTAGAACAGAGGAAAACTATATCCAAGGGCACTCAAATGTATCTTCATTGGATACTCTGCCACCCATAAAGGGTACAGATGTTATCACCCCCCTACAAAGAAAATGCTTGTATCCATTAATGTCACTTTTGATGAACAAAACTCCTACTTTACCAAACCTCACCTTTAGGGGGAGACTAAAACAAAGAAAGATGATGAAAGTATGCATGCACCTCTAGACCTTCCTCCACCACATCAAACCAACACTCCTGAAACTTAAACTAGGGAAGTTGAAGATAAAACTATCCTTAGATTTGGGAAGGTATATTCCAGGCGTACAAGTTCAACCTGTGATCCGAAGCATATCCAAGAATCTGAACCATCTCCTAAAAATAAGGTAAGCTCACCACCTCTCTTATACCCTATAACCAACTCTATATCCTTCAACAACTTCTCATCCTCACACAAAAATTTATTGGTTACATTAGAAAATATCCATATTCATAAAGAAATTTCTAAGACCTTATCTGATGAAATTGGAAAAATGACATGAGAAATGAAATGCAGGCCCTAGAGAAGAACAATACATGGGAGATCGTCAATCTACCAATAGGGAAAAAATGGTTGGTTGTAAATTGGTGTTCTCAGTAAAATATAAAGCTGATGGCACACTTGAAAGATATAAGGCAAGACTGGTGGCAAAAGGGTACACACAAACCATGGCATTGACTACCAATACTATCAGAATACTACTCTCACTAGCAGCCAAATACAACTGGCATCTAGAGCAATTGGATGTGAAAAATACATTCTTGCATGGGGATTTGAAAGAAGAGATATTTATGAAAATACCATAAGGGTTTAAGGAAAAAGCTGAAGGTAACAGAGTGTGTAAACTCAAAAAGGTTCTATATGGCTCAAACAATCACCAAGGGCCTGGTTCGAAAGATTCTCTAAATTCATGCTCCTTAATGGGTACCGACAGAGTCAAGGGGATCATAAATTATTCTTTAAACACTCACACTCAGGGGGAGTCACAATATTATTGGTATATGTTGATGATATTATCTTGATTGAAAATAATGAAAAGGTGAAAGTTAGTTTAAGAAAAAGTCTTACTAAGGAATTTGACATCAAAGAACTTGGTAGACTAAAATACTTTCTCGAAATTGAAGTAGCTCACTCCAGCAAAGGAAATATATTTCACAACAAAAATACATCAAAGATCTTCTGAAAGAAACAGATAAACTAGCTTGTAAACCAACACCGACACCAGTAGAACCTAATCTCAAACTGGGGGAAGCTAGAGAAGATCCATATGTGGATAAAGGGGCCTACCAGAGACTTGTAAGGAAATTGATCTACCTTTCCCACACTAAACCGGATATAGCATTTGTTGTAAGCATGGTCAGTCAGTTTATGCAGAATCCAAAGTAGGTTCACATACAAGCGGTAGACAGGATATTGCACTACCTCAAAGGAAACCGAGGAAAATGGATCATCTTTAAGAGAGATCGCAGAATAACCCTAGAAGTATACACCGATGCTGACTATGCGGGATCACCTGTTAACAGAAGATCTACCTCTAGATATTGCACATTTCTTGGAGGTAACCTAGTTACATGGAAAAGCAAGAAACAGAATGTGGTAACAAGATTTAGTGCAAAAGCAGAATATCGAGCTATGGCCTTAGGAATATGTGAGCTACTATGGATCAAAAAAGTCCTAGAAGACTTAAAGGTGAAGTGGGATGAGCCCATGAAGTTATATTGTGACAACAAATTAGCAATCAACATAGCCCAAAATCCAGTCTAGCATGACAGGATCAAGCACATAGAAGTGGACAGACATTTTATTAAAGAAAAACTAGATAGTGGTCTAGAAAGTTTCGACCATGTATCATCAAAAGATCAACTTGCAGACATCCTTACCAAAGGATTGGACAGTTCTGTCTTCCTCAGAATAATTGACAAGCTGAGAATGACAGATCCATATTTCCCAGCTTGAGGGGGAGTGTTGAAATCTAGCCGTTCTCAGTGCAAAGGATCTGACGGACACAAAGATCAATCCGTGGAAAGCTCTCATGGATCACACCATAATGAATGAACTAATTTAGGAAATAGTATATTAGGAATTTTATGTAATTTATTGTTTCCTCATTAAGATATCTTGTATAGAACTATAAATAGGGAAGATATTACTGAATCAATGCAAGCTTTTCCCTCTCAAACTTATTGTTTTAACAATCAATAAACAATCTATCTTGCACTGTGGCCGAGTAGAAAACCTCTAAAAAGCAGCTGGGATGAACAAAAATAACTGACAAATTAATAACAAAAAAGCAGCTACTTTATTCCATCCAACAAGGTTTAAGAGACAGAAAATATAGAGAGTCCCATGTTCCTGTTGTGGCTTCAGAATATCTTGGGAAACATGAATGATTAATAATAACTGTGAATTAAAAGAATACATCACAACTATGTAATGTCCTGGCAATGTCAAGAAATGTCATTTGACATCTTGTAATATTCAAGTTGAAGAAGAATATTAACGAATTGCTATAATTATAGTAAAATACAGAGGTGTACAGATCTTTTGAAAGTTGAACAGGCTAACATGCATACTTAGTTCAAAACGGCTAAAAATCAGGACTCGTATTTGATGATAAGAGCATCATCATCATTAGCCTGATCCACAGGGGTCAGCATGAATAAGATTAAGGCTTTGTTTGGGACGGATTTCTTACTGCTTCTTAAAAAAGCTTTTTAGTTCAAAAATTCTAATTTTTGTACTAAAAAGCTGCTTTAAGAAGCAGGAAGAAAGCCGTCCCAAATGAAGCCTAAGAATGGCATTACACTTTGTATGCCAAAAAGAAAAAAGGACCAGGAAAATAACTTACTCATTTACAGAATTCATTCGAATGGGTTGAAAGCTGCCCGGTGCAGGGATTCCATTGACTACATGACAACTAGATAGTCCACATCCTACAGAATCAAGGTGTTGTTGGCCTGGTTGTATTTGAGGCTGCGGGATCACAGGGTACCCCATAGGTAAATTGTTGACTGCACTGCGAATAGGTCTACTTTGAATAAGAATCACAATAAGCAAAGTGGCAAGATTATTTGCAATAGAACGAGATTATAAGGTACACAAGGTAATTTCTGTGGAAAACAGAAACTCTATTGAAAATAGCTGATATTTATAAACAAAAAATGGAAGAAATAATAAGATATCAAGCAAAGACATTGCTACTCAGGCAGTGATGAACAAGTTGATCTTACAAAGTGTTGCCTGTAATCTTGAAGTCATTGACGATAAAGCTGTGAATTTTCTCAAAATTTGTAGGAAAGTTGAGTGTTTTTTGCTTGGATCAGCGTGAATGAGCCAAGACAGAACCAAGTTAAATAAAATTCGAATTGTGTCGAGCCTCAATCAAATCGAGTAGCTCAATATCATTTCAGGTTGCTTAAAAGAATGACCCAGTTTGATTTTGAATATGTAAGAAACAAAAATTTTGTTGTACAGTTAGGCTGCTTTCACTTTCTTATGTGAAGAACCCACAGCTACAAGAAAAGATTACTTATAGAATAATATTATAATATACCATTTCTCAAATACTGAAAATCATGCTGGTAATTAAAGTTAAATAAACTTACCGGGCATAGGATGAATTCCGTTTTGTATAGGAGCTAGAGGAACCTTAGGTGGAACAGGATAATTCATTAGATGGTACTGATGCTCTAGTAACTGATTGAAGATGATAATCTGTTTTTTCAGTTTCAGCCTTGTGTAGTAAGCCCTGAAAAAATCAGAGTTCTCTTCTTCAAGCTTCTGCCATACTGAGATATTGCCAAAAAAAGAAATGAAATTAGATAATACACACCAACATTGCAAGATGTCAAAAAGCAATTATATTTAGAGTTTCTTTATCTTGTTTACCTATATTGTATCTGAGAATAATAAACCAAAATAGAATGACCAGCAAAATTAGAAAGGTTTTCATTTGATTTTCACACCTTTCAGCCATACGAGATAGCAAATTAAACGTAACTGATATTCATGTAATTGTCTGGTTTGGAAGCCAACATCTAATGTGACTTGATAACATGAAAATTGTGAAACTGAAACAGGAAGTAATATAACAAGCAATGGAGAGAAAAAAAGGAAGAAACACACATAGTAAAAGAGTAACAGCGCAAGGTATAATGGATTAAGATTTTAATTCTTGTAGCATGTATATTTTTGTTTGTCAGTTTTAATGGTGGAAAAAACATCCAAAAAAAGACCATAACTGATCATGGTGCGAATGAGTTACACAATTAAGTTTGGATAGGTCAAATACAAATAAAGACTGCTCTAAATGAAGTTGATCAATCCACATTATAAATTAAAATAATAATGAACCAAAATATTACTCTTTGAAATTTTATGTGTTTATCATGCTGTAGACCAAGATCCAAGGGAAATTTTTTGCATGGATGAACTAAAAGTTAATAAAATAGTCTTGGCACTGCAAATTAAATCATCCACCATATTGGAGAAATTTTGTCATCCTCAACAGATTATATATTTTGTGATGGAACACGACATAAAAAATAATATATTATCCCGAAGAACAAAAATATCATTTTCCTATGGACTCACAAACAAAATTTATAATTTTAATTTTAATAGAGATTTTCCCCCATTCAATATTTGTTTGAATGGGGTGTATTTTATTCTAGGGTATGTATCTCCCACCCCTATGATTAATTACATCTCAAATGTTTGTTATTTAAAAGAAAAAATTATTAACCTAATGGTTTCCTTTCTTTTGAAAATCATCTAAATATTAACTAAAATTTTCATTTGAAATTTATGAAATTCTTATATAAAGATCTTGCTCTTTAAGAATTTCAAAGGAAGAGGGGGATCGACTTTGATTAGAGTTCTTGGAATGAGAGCCAAAGGGATGAACAATATGAGTACTTGATTCTAAGAGGAAACTTAGAGGTACTCAAAACTATCTTATATTGGACTTTATATTTTAGAATCCAATTTTTATTTAAGTTGATAATTTTTAATTTAGAATGTTGGGGCTTACAGTCCAACAATACATGTTGGAGGAAATACCCGGAAAGTGGGGGCTTATTAAGTGATTGAAATCAAAATCTGCCTCAGACTCTAGAACTAAGGTGAGGACTACTGAGGGATAGTGTCTCAAACGTAAATCTAACGGAGTGCAAAGGACTTACAAACTATATCTCATATGAGGCATAGCTAGCCCAACCTTTGTAATTATTGCTCTCCATGGAAAGAGCTACCAGCTAAACCCACCTAATCAGTTTTAAAACCATGTAGTCCAATCTCAAATGCATAAGAAGATTAGGGAGGTTTTTTTTCATTTAAAATATAAGGGCTTATAGCTTGGCTTTGAGGTCAAGATATCTGACCATGAATGGTATACAGAATGCTGACTTACAAATGTTTATTTTTTTGTTATATGATCCTTAAGTTTTCTACATGAGACTTATTGGGCTATGCATAATCAATTTGAAAGTTCGTTAGGGATGTTAAGCCCTTATGAACTAGTCTCGAGACTAATCAAGAGGGGGGTGAATTGGTATTTTAAAAATTTATTTAAGCAAAGCACAAAACAAAACCAAAACAATTCACCACAAAGAGTAACGGATGTAAAAATTAAACACGGAAATAAAACAAAGAAAGATCACACCGGATTTATAGTGGTTCGGTCAAACCTTGACCTACGTCCACTCCTCGGAGGCACCCTCCGAGTATTGCACTAACTAAGTGTCTCTCTTTTAGCTCCCACAGCTAGGCGGAGAAGTCTTTACAACATACTCTTTTTCACCAACCCCTGTGCGGCAGAGAACCGACTCCTTTTGCTTCCTCCTAAAGCGGGCAGAGAACCCGGACCGTTTGCTGAAGTAAACCTCCCAAGGACGAAGGATGAAGAACGGAGAAGACGACTTGGAACCTTGTTTGGAGCAACCTTTGTGAACCCTCTCACAAACTCCCCCTCACAAATTCCTCTCTCTCTCTCTCTCTCTCTCTCTCTCTCTCCCTAGGCTCTCTCAGGTCAAGACAGCAACACTCAAGGTCTCCTCTAAGGTAGAACAAGAGATCTTAAATAGAAAAGCTTCGAAATAGCTCTTATTTTATACAAACCGACTTTATCGTCCAGGCTGATACCCCTATCGGCCTGGCCTATCAACGTAAATTTCGCTCAATCAGCCCGATCGATTTGGGACGATTAGGGTAATTTTGGTCACATCGTCCAGGCCGATAGGATATCGTCCTGGCCGATTAGTTCAAATTCGAGCCAAATCTTCCTGGAAATCGCCCTGAATTGAAGTAGGCCGATGTCAATCGTCCACGCCAGCGTCCCGGCCGATCCTGCGATCTCCCCGGCCGATGTGATCGCGCAATCAGCCTTAATTGCTTTTAATAATTACCATATTAATTTAGGCATAATTATGCAGTATCGTCCAGGCCGATAGGATATCGTCCTAGACGATGTCCTAAAATAAAGAATACCTAAATAGATCATGGCGGCTGATTCTTTCTGATTTGAGCCTATCGTCCCGGGCGATACAATATTGTCCAGGCCGATCAGCTTAATGACGGCTGCCTTAACCAGGATACCCTAATCAGGGTCTATTTTTTACGAATCGTCTGGGACGATATTTGGATCGTCCTGGATGATGTACTCAAAACAGATAACTCTAAGTTTAGACAAAAAATTCACTCAGGTGTGTGTGTACAATGTTACTTAGCATCAGACACCTTAAAGATTACATTTGACTCAAGAAAGGAAAAAACTACATTACAGACTGACTCAGACCTAATCTACCCAATCTTGAGCTGGTTTAACTTGCAGTCTCGATCCTGTGGTCCTGAAACGTTAGTAGGCATGACAGTTGAAACAAAACAGAAGTGTTTGCTATCATCAAAATTCTATTTCTGAAAAACAGATACGCAACAATCTCCCCCTTTTTGATGATGACAAACACAAGAAAAAATTCTCAGGAGTTCAATCAGTTTAATGAAGACAGTGTGAAGGAAAAGAACACAAGTCAACTATCACAATCAAAGCACAAAGTAACTAGCAGAATCAAAGTACAAAGCAACTAGTAGTACAACAGATCACTCCCCCTTTTGACATCACAAAAAGTTGGGGGAAAAGTAAAACTAGAAAAACAGAAACAAACTACAACAAAAGAAAGACTAAAAAAATGATGGGCTCTAATCATCTGAAGGTAGAGAAGGTGGTGGTGGAGGCTGCTGAAATTAACCAGTCAGTGTAGCAAACTGAGCACCAAACCAGGCTATGTCCTGGTCGTGCTGCTACTGCTGGTGAGCAATGTAAGTGTCAAAACGGGCTAAGTCCTCCGCGCGGTGCTGCTCGTAGTGGGCTATGTCCTCAGCATGTTGCTGCTCTTGTGCAGCAACGTAAGTGTCGAATCGGGCCTCCCACTGGTCAAAACGCTCCACCAACTGATCCAGCTCATAGTGTTGGCAGAGCGGCACAGGTGCAGGAACAGGTGCAGGAGGCTCCTCTTCCCCTGCCTGAGCTTCCCCGTCCCTTAGGTGGAGATTAGCATTTTGAAGAGTTTGAAAGGAAATGTTGGAGTAGAAAGCAGTGGGAAGATCTAGTGGAGCAAGATATTGTAGGTTATATTTTGTTTCTAGAACATATGCAATGATATGTCCTAGGGCAATATTTGGTTTCCTCCTATGACCTGGATCTCGAATTGTAGTCAAGTGATCGATGAAGTGAAAGATCATATCGGTTGCATTGAATTCGCGATGGGCTAAAATGTAAAAAGTGGTGATCGAAAGAAGATGAGTAATATGGACACGATCACCAACTTTTGAGATTATAGAGGTGCGAATGACATGTTGAACAATCATAGCATCTTTAAGTAAAGAGCTAGTCTCTCCAACATAAAAGTGGGATGTGGTGTTCTGAAGGAAGTGATTGGCCGGAGCCCAGTCATAATCAGGATAAGAACACAGGGTAAGGAGTTTGTCCCCTATGGTGAAAAGTTGTAGAAGTTCCTGGCAATCCTGATATGTGATCTCGACGGGGCGTCGATTCACATATGAGGCAAGAGTAGTGTAGGAAGAATTAATTATAAGGCTTGCGAAGAATTCAAACAAAAGTTTAGAATTGAAGGGGACAGCCAGAGTAAAAAGAAAGCACAAGGACGTATGGGCAAATAAGTCGAGTACCTGATAAGAGAGATAATCTGGATTGACGGTCCAGGAGACTGTGATTCCAGCCTCCTTGTAGCACTGGTAAGCGGCATGAGCATCCGCCTCCAGGAAACGAGGGTCTAGTATGACCCTCGAGGAACTTCCGGATGTGTGACGAGAGCATTTCCCTCCTACCATTTTCAGAAAATAGAGCACTAGAGCAAGAATACAAGGAGTTTAAGAAAGCTTGAGTGAAGAAAACGGCTGGAAGGCTCTGAATTTAAAGGATCGACCATATCTACCAGGCCGATCACAGGATCGTCCAGGCCGATATGGTTCAATTATTGCGTACAGGCCGATTGGTCAAAAAGGCGGTCCGATCATCCGGGCCAATCAGATATCGGCCAGAACGATTAGACACAGGCGATCGTCAAGATGAGTCAAGCCGGACGACCGCTGAAAAAACAGATCATCCGGGCCAATTCAGTGGATCGTCCAGAACGATGCCAATAATGGATCATCTGCCGAATTTAAAGCGTTTAAATCATGGGCCACGTGTATCGGCTGGGCCGAACAGGTGGATCATCCGGGCCGATTGTCCAAAAATGGATCGTCCCAAGCGAATTTATAAATTTTAAAC